CAAATCATAATAACAGACATATAAATTTAGCCATCATTTTATTAAAAAAAAAAAAAAAAAAAAAATTTAATTTTTTATTAAATAAAAAAATATTTATTATTATTATTTTAATATCAATATTATTATTAGAAATTTTCTTCTTCTTTTCAAATGATTTGAATTAATACTTATTACACAACAACAACAACAACAACAACAACAAACAAAATAACAAACATATTAAATAAAACTTTTCTTTTTTATGTACCTGTTTTATTTATCAATCAATCATATACAATCTATTGTTTATTACAAAGTCAATTATAATAATAATAATAATAATAATAATGGGTAAATATAACTGTTGTATTGAAAAAAACGAAGGCTAATAAATTACAAAATACTGAAAATATATCACGTTAACAAAAAAAAAAAAAAAATTACCAACACGGTTAATTTGTTTTTGTTTAATGTTTAATCAATCTCTTTTTCAATTATTATTATTATTATTTGTTATTTTTTTTTTAAGGATTATTTAAATAACTGACTGGTTATTGTTAATTAATTAATTAACGTAATGTTTTGTGTATGTTTTTTACTAACTGTATTTTGTTTTGTTTATCATTGATATAGTGGGGATATCGTTTAAAGGTTCTATAACAATATGAATTTTCAATGAATCCCTTTTTGGACCGACTAAAAAATCACTCGTGGATCCACTTTTCATAATAGAATTTAATTGTTCGTACGAAAGGAAATCGTCCAAATTGAGAACTTTTTCAACTTCTGAAAACCTATGATTTTTTTCGTAAACGTGCATGACGTGTTCGATATCGTTTTGAGTACCGTAAATTACGATTCCTATCTGAAATTACAAAATTTTACGAAGCCATTTTTATTTATTTAAATAAAATTTTCTCTTTTTTTTTTTTTTCTTAAAGTTATTTTGTCACCTTGACTCTTATATCAGCAGGTGTCGGAGGTGGATCTTTGCAAGTTATTGAAAGTCGTACCGTTCTCAATACGAGTCCGGGTACTTCTAAGGGTCCTTGCCAAACGATAAGATAAAATTTTTTAAACCGAACACCTAAAAAATATTTTTCAACGTTAACGTCTAATGACGTGTTAGTTTTGTACATTTTAAAAATGATACCTTTCGGGTAAACATCCACAACCCATTCGCACGTTTTATCTCCGGCACAATCCGCCAAAGAAGCATAAGAGCTAAATACAAAAGTGCTTGCGAAGTAGGCAGGAAGAAGTGAATAATTTTCTACGGTTAAAAGAGTCGAATGAGTATCAGCGGTATACAGTCGGGGAGTAAATGATAAATGACCATCTTCTTCTTCCAAAACTTCTTTGATTCTCTTTATTTGACCTGAAATAAAATGAAAAGTTTTTTTTTTTTTATACGAAAGGGCCAGAAAAATTTCGAAATGAACTTGTTTTCCCATCGTGCAAAAAAAAAATTTATAAGTTTTTAAACAGATATTAAACCTGAAAATTTTATAAGTACCAGAATGGAATGACATTCCAATGGCCATTTTTTCTACAAAAAATTCTTTGTATTTTGTCGTTAAAGGATTCAATAATAATTCTGCTAGCTGTCTCGGAGACATCATAGGAAAACGAATATTTGACATAACTTCAATAACTAATTGTTCCATATCGTTTTCTTCTGGAAATCTATCTTTTTGATAATTTAACCATTTTACAACATACCTTTAATAAAATATATACAATTTATGTAGAGTTAATTAAAGTTAATTAAATGATGATAGAGTTATTAAATGTGCTCACTGATAAAGTCTCATTTCGTTATGAACTACTAAATCCGATTCTTGTAATAAATTGACAAAAATATTCGGTTCGAAATTTCCAAAATCTTGTGTCTTTGCCACAATATCAAGATTCCATTTGACAAAATTTCTACAAGCTTTGGCAACAATATCATGACCACAATGATAAGTGTACTGAAGCCATGAAATCAAACAATTATTCATGGCTGCTTGAGCTATGTGACAATACATGTAATCTATACAAAGTTTCACTAAATCCTTAACATTATATTTATCTGCTAAAGTTAAAATAGGCATCACTGATTGTAAATTAATTCTTATTTGTCCTGTGTAAAAATATTTTAAAAAATCTCCAAAAATTTCACAGCATTCTTTGGTTTCGACTAAAACAACTCTACTTTCAGATGATTCAGTCCACTGTGGATTCATTAGCATTACCTAGATGAAAAAAAAAAAAGTAAAAATTAGAGTTTTAAATAAAATTAAAATAAAATTTAATACTATTATTTAAAAAATATAATTAACCTGGAATACTTCGCTTGAAGCACACAAAATTAATCTATGACAGGGATATTCTTTTCCTCCTACAAGTAAACATAAATCATTCATGAGTTTTTCAGCATATATAGTGGCAATTTTGACAAGAACTGAACGAGAATTGTCCACCTACAAAAAAATTTTTATAAATCTACATCCTATTCTTACAATACGGAAATTAATGTACCATTAAAATTACATCAACATCATCTGATCTTTCAGGTTTAACCTTCGGTATATTTGTTTTTAAATTAGTTGTTGCCATAATTTAACAACGTATCAGTCTCCTTTATGTACAATAATTTTTTGAAAACATTGTTTACTACATTGTGTATATTACACACTTACAACGGCCAAAAACAAACATTATAAATTTTATTATTATTATTATTATTATTAAAATATTCTTTTTTTGTACGTTGGGAAGCCCCAAAAACTTAAGTCAACGAATTACTGAAACATTGAAAATAATTATAAATCCTAAGGTAAAAAAAGAATTAAAGTAAAGTAGAAATTTTTTTTTTCTTCTGCCACTTTTTTTTTGTTTTTTTTTTTTAGTCCGCGCTTCGAAATACATTTCTCTTTTAAAAACATGCAATTAGTTTTTATTAAAATTTATCAGTATTAAAAAACTTTATTTATTCAGAATTAAAGTGTAAAAAAAGGTTTATTGTTACTAACAAACTAATAACTTAAATAATACATTAAAGGATATTTTTTTAAAAAATTTCGGTGAGTTTCTTTTATTTATTTTTTTTTTTTTGAGTTAAATTTAAAATAAAAATAAACAAATTTATTTTATAATTTTTCTTTTAATAAGACTAGTACAAAATTAAGTACAAGTTTTTTTTTTTTTTCATTAAAATTAGCGAAACAAAAAATAACAATAAGTATAATTTTCAAAAAAAAAAAACAATTGTAAAAAAACTTTGAGCGCTTTAATGGCTAAAACTTTTTGGTTTATTAATTTTTTATCATATGTAATATCTAAAAATATTAGATAAATATACACATAAAAATGTGTAATAATAACTATCGCTTTCATCTATAATACTCCACCATCAGGAAATTAAAGATTTTGGAAATAAGTTCATAACAGTATAATCCACTAAAACCTAAAATATAAAAATGGAGAAGAATTAAATAACGAATAAGTAAATTTCAAAATGGCGGACAAAAAAGTTAAAAAATTACTTCTTTAAGTTTTTCGGTAGTTGCCGTTGGAATCGTGTAACTAAAACCCAAATTTGTTAATTTGCTTCCATCGAGAAATAAATTTTTATTTGTTAAAAGTTCTTTATCTATATACGGCGATAAAGGAGTGTTATTAACTCCATCTTTTGAACATATTTCAGCCCAGGGTCCTAAATGCTTATCATTTATTTCTTCTACAGCACTTGCGAGATCAGCCTAAAAAGAATTCATTTTAACAGTTTTTATATATATATATATATATTTTGATCGAGGAAAGGATTTTTTATTTAAAGGATTACTGTATTACTTTGGCGATTGATGAAATCGTAGAACCCCAATAATCGTGATTAATATTAAATATTTCCGAAACGAGTGAACTAATGGTTCCTTGTGTAGAATTCCCTTCGTCAACAACGTTATAAATATTTTGCCTAGTATCATCTCTGGAAAGAACAAACCAAATTGCGCGACAAAGATCGTCTACGTGAACCGTATTCATTTTTAAGTCTTTCGTCCATAATAGTTTCATACATTCCCCCAAATACTTGTAAATGGCTCCTATCAATAACCTAGGAGCTGTAAGAAAAAAAAGGGAAGTCGAATACAAAAGTTATTATCGAGAAAAAAAAAAAAAAATTATACAATCCAATCCTTACTAATTCCTGAGCGATCCCCAAATCCATAAACAATACCGGGTCTTAATATTGTATAATTAAGACCTGAAATTTCAGACAAACTCTCTTCAACCTTAGATTTCCATTTAGCAATATTTGTCCATGGATCTTTCTTACAGTTTTCTTTTAGCGGAATCTATAAAAATGTACAAAAATAATTGAATGACTTATGAGACGAAATGAAAAAATAATTACTTATCAACTCATATTAACCTTATCAGAAGAAGCTATATTTCCTGAGGATATTTCTACATAATGTTTTATTTTTTGGTTAGCAGCTTCCATGGCACATGTGCTACTTAATTTAAAAATTCCCTCCTTGTAAACAGGATCCGTTTGACCGGGTTTCGTTTCACCGGCACAATTCACAACATAGTCAAAACTATAATTTGATTCATCCGGAGCGAATGCAGCTTTACATGAATCTTAAAATAATAAATGAGACATGAATTATTACAGCAAATATTATTTAATTTTTATAAATTTAAGTGATATTAAATAAATATATATATATATGTACAAAATTTTATTTAGATAATTTTATCAGAGAAAAAAAAAAAAAAAAATGATAAGAAATTTTTTTTGGTTAGCGTCTATCAACAATTTGACAGGAAATTAGTATTATTATTTATATCTTACCCAAATTAATTAGGTTACAACTTTTAAAATGAACCCTAGCATCATTAAAGCTGGCTTGATGCTGAGAATTGAGCCATGCAATTTGTGGTGGTACCTTATCAACAACTCTTATACATTCCACAAGATCATTGCTTATTAAATAATGTACCAAATTTCTTCCTATAAACCCACATCCTGTTAAATATAATTAGCATCATAATATTATTTAAATAATTTTTTTTTTTTTCAAATTCATTGAGGATAATTTTAAATATAAGCGACTGTTGGCTCTACTCGTGTCATTTTCTTTCCTTTTAATAAAAAGTTATGTTATTAATTATGATAAATGAATAATTTCCCTTAAAAAAATAAATAAATGAAATTTTAACAAAATTAAAATTCTCAATACCTTATTTAAAAGAGAAAAAAAAAAAATTTTAATTTTTTTCTTTCTCTCTCAATGTTACTCATTTCCTGTGCTTGTCCTGTTTAAAGGTTCAACATTTTTTAACACTTGCTATGACGCATTCAATGAATCAGAAATTATTTTTATATTAATTAAAATAATAATTCATTATAACAATTAAAAAAAAAAACAAAAATTTCTGTTAAAATTAGTAAAATAAATATTCAATTTAAAAATTTAAACAAAATCAAACCAATAAAATGATGTAGAGATAAAAAAAAAAATTGCAATCAGTAATGAGTATGTTCGTTCATTAATAATTTGAATTTTAATTTATTCTACTATTATTATTTTCTTTAATCAAGTAATAAAATTTTTGTTTTTTTTAAATTCTTGTAATAATAATTAATTAACACTAAAATATATATTTAAATAATAATTATTTTTCTACTTACCACCCAAAATTATAACTCGGGGCTTCATTAAATTTTCAAATTAGAATCTTTTAAATAAAATAATATACCTCAGAGTAACGACTTCCTCCAACTGTTCCTCATTCAATAATGAAAAGTAAACAAGGCTTAACCGTATGTTCAATGTCATAGAGTAATAATTTTTTTTTTTTTTTGACGCCAAACAAAAAAAAAATGCCAAGGTTTTACATGTTAAAATTTTATTGAATCATTTCTTTTAAAAATTATTTTTTTAGTGTGTACTTCATTTCTAATATGCGTTATTCCCACCTAATTAATTCAAAATAATATTTATAATACTAATTCATCCGATAAAAAATTATTTATTAAAAATAACAATTATCTATAGTATTTAGTTCAAACGAAATAACTAATTTAAATACAACATTCAAGGAGTATTTTCAAAAGATAAGTTTTATTATTTTATTGTGTTAAATTGGGTCAAAGAATTGCATTTAACACCTTTATGTCATTCATTAGATTTTATTTTCGAATTTATAAATCCGTAAAATGTAATAAAACTTTTACGTACGTGTGACAATAACATTTTCAATAACCAAAAGGCATACAAACTTTATTAATATTTTTAAGGAGTTTTATGAATAAAAATTAAATTTTATTTAGTTCTTAAGCTTTCTTTATTTAAAAATTGTTAACAAGTACAAACTTCTAACAAGCTGTTAAAAAACTTAACACTTAATGTAGCATGCATTTCTTAAAATTACACAGAGAGAGAGAGAGAGAGAGCACTCAAGTGCTGAGGTAATAAAATTACTTTTTTTTTTTTTTTTTTTTCAAACATTAGCATTCATCCGTTCAAAGGGATTTTATTATAGCTATAATCATTTAAAATTTTAAATTATTTACGTTAATTAAGTGTACGTAATAAACATAAAAATTTAAGTTCCGTCAGCTTTGCGCAAGACTACTTGAAGCAATAATTGCCTTAAAGACGTTACTTGTTTTTCCAATACATCTGCTTCCGCTCTCAATTTGACATTTCTTCTTTCTTCTTCCTCTAGAGTTTTAAACATGTGACGTTCTCGATTTTTTCTATTTTGTCTCGAACGTCGCGATGCTTCGTTGTTTTTATCCCGTCGTTCCCGATAGGTATCACTCGATTTAGAACCATCCTTGACTCCCTCGGTATTGTTTTTAGAGTCTTCGGTTTTAGATTTTTTATTTATTCCATAACACTTTCTTTTAGATCCACTTTCACTCGTGTTATAATCATCATCACTATCTGACTCGTTGGTTTCACAATCGTTATCGTACTCGTATTCCGACTCATCTTTGTCGGATCCATCTTCTTCTGCGACGACGCTGTAATTTTTGGCAACTCTTCTCTTGGCATTAGCTTTGATGCGCTCCGCAATCGAACTATACTCGTCACATACAGGTTTGTTTTGTATCGATGAATTTTTCCCATCTTTTTTCAAAGTATTTCTTCTACTTTCTGTACTCATTTGTGAATTATTTTCGACGCTTTTCTTTTGATTTAAATTTAAATTGTTGTGATTGGGGCAAGTTTCTGGCATTGAAGAAAGTGTATTATTTTCTTTGCTATTCATTTTCATATCCTAAAAATTAACAAGATTAATTAAAGTCTGGACAATAGTAAAAAAGCAAGTAAAAAAAAAATTTTACAAAAAAAATAATACAATTTTTTTTACCTCGTTGATAAAATCGACCAGATCCATAAAATCCAAGTCTGGTGTATTTACGCCCATAGATTGTTCAAAATTGACTTTTGGAAGATCCAAATTAAGATCGAGTTTTTCACCCAACACGCAATTGACATTCACGTTCTCATTTTTTATATTTCGACTCAGCATACTTTCATTTTCTTTATAATTATCAGTTGTGTAGGAAACATTCTTCTTCAAACATTTTTCTTTGTTACCACCACTCGATGCTTTGACATTAACCGCA